TTCCAGCTGTGGGATCTTGGCAGGTATCAGGATAGCAAGACCAGATTTTCTGGCTTCCTCCAATTCTTATGGTTTTTACTTCAAAGTAACTTACATTCCATCATTATACCCTATGTAAGGCTGTAGCAAGAGTAGTGTGGGGTCAGGAGCCTTCAATACCCTGCTATGTTATTTCTTGTGTATTTTTTCTTAACTCTTCCTTGTTTCTAAGGGAGAGTTAAGTTGATGTGACTGAAGTAGTTGATGTACTACTTTTTCAGGATCAGGCTTATTTCTAAGTATACTGATAGCTTTTTGTAATCTGCTCTCTGTGTCTCTGAGCTGCTCTTGTGTGTTTGGTGAATTCACCCAAAGATCATGATAAATTTTAATAGAGTTTTTGCTTTTAATGAACATTCAAATGCATAAGTAAGGATTGCATTTTCAGGACTTTAGTTTTCTATCTAAATTTCTATCCACTTTAGCCTGGTTCCTCCTAACACAATATTAGCAATTTGAAAAAGTGAAGGATGTAAAAATCTGAAGATTATTAACAGGGAAGATGTTTTGAACAGAAATAAAAAAGTCATGCATTTCCCCTAGCACTAATTACTAGTAAAATATTGCTAGAGATAAAGTCTAATTTTAAATTTTGGGTGCAGAATGATTGTCTTGTTGTTCTAGGGAAAAAGAGACAAAGTGCATCTATAAAATACAACTGCAAATGTTTTCCTGTGCTGCCTCATTGATTCATAATGTCTTGCTGCGCATCTTTTTTGATTGGGATTTACCAGCTGTGTGGGTCACAGCATTATTCTCAGCTTTGGTTAATTCGTCTCTGCTGAGGGCACGGGGTATGCTGTACAGCAAATATCCTTGGGCTCTTCAACTCTGAGAGATACCTACAACAGCTTTGTATGTTTGCATTATAGTCTTTAGCAAAACACAATCAGCATATCTGCTGGGGAATTCAGGTGATTCCACTATGTCTCAAAACTTTTGACTGCACCATAAAAAATATTAGGTGAAGGGTAGCTGAAGACATTGGCAGCTGCTTATGTTTCTGTTGGATCTTTCAGAGAAGTGTTGGAGGGAGTTAACTTTAGAATGTGTAGTGAGCTCACTGCTAGAAAGCTACTGCTAAAATCATCAGCAATAAAGAGGCCAAATTCACAAACCCCATATTGTTAACAGGCTATTAAAGCTGTCAGGAGCCATATTTATCTTTTCTGCCTCTGCTGTTTTAGAGTATCTACAAGTGAATGACACCCTGAGTTGATTTAGGCTGCTGTTGTACAAATCTAATTTAATCTTAGCCTTTCATTTTCCAGGTCCCTTTCTCTTCCCATTCCTTTTGCTACCCAGACTGTTGCCACCATGACGTAATACTGTTGCTCTGTTAATTATGTTTTGTTTTTGTTGATTTTTTTTTTTTTGTGACACCTGTCTGAACTCTTCTATGGAAACTGTCTGTTTTAAAAATAACTCATCAATCACTCTCCCTTTTTTGGGACAAATTATGCATTCTGTGCTGCTTTTTTCTGACGGCATAATAGCAGTTCCTTCCTTTTCTGTGTTTTTGAATGCAAAAGATTCTTGCTAAGGCATGATGCAGATCTGGATTATAAAATGTATCCTGTTCTATTACGTGCAACAGCTCTCTTCTCATAGGGCAGATATGCACTCAAGGTTCATGCTGTTCTCCATCAGGGATTTATGTAGTACTGAAAATGATGATTGTAGATTCTATGGTAGTCTAGTTAATTTTCCTAAAGGCAGAAGTTAAATGCCTATTTATCATTTAGCTTAAAATATCCGATCAGTGTTAGTCAGTTGGTGCAATATTTGTACAGTATTACTAACACAGATCATCCCAGTTACTGGTCTGCCAAAAACAAGAAGAAAGCTGTTACAGTTCTCTAACTTCTCTCTTTTCCTACTTGCATTGCATCATCTGGTGCCAGTCACCTCTCGTCACATGGGGCTGCTGCCTACATACATAAAGATCTAATTTAATAGTCTTATTGAAATTATTGAGGACATAATAAGAATTTTAAAATATAAGTCTTAGTCAACTAAATGCTTTGATAGTAACTTTACAGGAAAACAAGTTCCTTCACTGACGAAAATATCTGATTTTGGTTGAGATTGCAGAAGATTACTGTACTTTATAGTGTGTAAGGTATCTAGAAACAATGTGTTTTGATCAGACAGACGAGGAAAACAAAGATATCAACAGCAATGAAAAAAAGAGTGAAATTAAAAAATCCAAAAACCCAAACCAAAAAAACTTTATGCTTGCAACAAACCTTCTATACTTACAGACAATAGCAAAGAATTGCTCTTCTCAAGGAAAAGTTATGAGACTTGTTGTTCATGTTGTCCAGCCTATCAAAACATGCTGGCTTCATTTTAGAGCTGTATTTGATTTTAACACTGATGATAATTCTCTTATTAATTAAAATTATATCTTCTCTTGGCTAAATAATCACCTTGTTTCTTATGTTAGTTAATCTGTATGCTCAGTGTTTCTCTTCTTTTGAGTGGCTGGGTTTCTTGGGTCGGTGGTCTCTGAGCTGGTGGCCGTGATCTGCCCCTCCGGAATTACCTTTTACCCAGAGAGAGCTGATTTCAGCACAGGTGCTGAGTTGGCTTTGTTAGTTTCTTCATTGTCTTGGGAGTTCTGACAGGTGTCTTCATGGCCCTTAAATTCTGCATTCTGTGTGTTCACTATCAGGAGTTCATCCTTCTCCCCAGGCTTTGTCAGTCTCCCTCTAGGTCTGAGATCACTGAAGCATATCAAGCCCTAAATTTTAACAAGGGAATTCTACTGACATATTGTTTATCTTTGTAACACCTGGACATTTAATCCCTGCTGAGACTGGGACACAGTGGGAAGGGGAGGATGCTGCCTCTCCTGAAATTCTTCCAGCACAGCCACATTGCTGACTGTGGGCTGAGGGCTGCTGCCCCATCCACAGGCAGGGTTTTGCTGTTACTGGAGATGAGCTCTGACCAGTTTGTGGACAATGTTCCCAGTTCTAAGCTGCTCAGTGGGAAATATGGGACAATGCCCCTCTTTCTTCCTACTCTTAATCTGGTCTTCCAAAGGTGACTGCCCATGACTGTTCTGCAAATTTATGCAATTTTGTTTGACAAGCGTGGATTTTGGTGAAGTAAATAGAAGATATTTTATGCTTGTCTTGGTTTTCTTCTCCTGTACTGATCTGTAGGGCACTAATCCCACTATTAGCTAGACAATTTTATCCTAGAGCATCTTCAAACTAGAACAGAGCAACTCCAGCTGAGGCTGCATCTGGTCCAGGCTTCTTTTCTGCCATGAAGCAATTTAAGTGGCTTCCTGTGAGTCATTACCCAAGGTAAATCAAGATGTACTTCTGTGTGTAATAGAATTAATGAAGATTGGTCTCAAGGATTTGTGTCTTATGACTACATCCTCTAATATCTAGAGGAGTACAAACACCAAATGAAACTTCTTGTACAACTGAGGTCCTGAAAACCTTTTTCTCTGCAGATTTTTTTCTAAGGATCAGTGTGTATTTTAGCTCGTCCTTTAGTAGAGTACTCTTTTTCTTTCCAGATTTCTAGTTCCATGAAACTTAAGGATACAATTGCATAGAATATTTGTATCCTCCTGTTTAATGTGTTTAAAGTTGGCTGGTAGGTTGAAAGATAACTGGGGAATGGAATGACAGATTCTCACATAGTATAATTGAATGAGATTTGCTTCTTCAAGAAGCCAGGTTAGAAAGAGGAGAGACAGGTTTCCTTTAGGAAAACTGCCTAGACTATGAGAACCAGAGGGCTGGCGTACAAGGCTGTTTGTAAATAGAAGCTAAGCTCAAATATATACTTTAACTCTGCACAGCCCAACATCTCATTGACACAGCAGATTTGGAAAGGCATGGGCTTATTACTAAGGCTTTACTGATGAGGTTGGGACACTCTGAACATAATATTTAATGTACTTATAACTGACAATTGCAGCTCAGGAAGGAGCACTTGGAGTTGCCATGACTGCTTTCACAATTCTCTGAAATGCATTAGCTTATTTTGAACCAAAGGCCAAAACCAGGCTTTTAAAAATATGAAAATCTTGGCCATCATCAAGAATGATTTTAAAGATAGAATGGACTTGCATTATTTTTCTGTTGTGTAAGGTCTTCATGCACTTGCATCTTGAGTACTGTGTGCAGTTTTGGCCTCCTGATCTAAAGGAAGATAAAGTACCACTTCAGAAAGAACATAGGGAAGGGCAACTAAAATGATAAAGTGGATGAAACAAACTGAGGAGGGACTTACAAAGATCCAGGTTTCTTCAGTTTGGAGCAAAGACTGAGGTGTGAGGTCACCAAAAAATACACCATCACGAAGGCAACACAAGAGTTATTGGAAGCGTCATTCATCAACTTCAAATTGCAAGAATTGAAACTAGACAAAAATAGCAGTAGATGATTTTCAAGCACTCAAAACAAAGTCTTTTGCACTGAAGGTTGTAAACTTTCCCATTTACTAGTAGAGGAAACAGTGGAGATGGATAGTATCAGCAGGTTCAAGAAAGTTACTTGAATATATGAGAAGCAGCTCCATAGATGGATAGTACACAGTGGAGGTTAGTCCTGTCCACCATTTCTAATTCATGAATTTTGGAGACTGGAGGATAGAATAGATTGTAGAAAAATCATCTCTTGCTGCTCTGTTGCAGAGGCAGCATTGGACTTGATGAACCATTGTCCTGAACTGTTGGGACATTCCTTAAATTCTTGTAGTGTCCTGAGCTCACGTGTAAGGCAATAACTAGACTGTCAATTTGAAGTGATGGTGTGTGAAACAACAATTAAATTACCTAGTTTTATCTGCTCTGTGTCAAAGGCCAATATTTGACCCTGTCAGTCTGGGATGATCATAAAGCTAAGAGGCAACAAGTGAAACTGCTTTAGGATTATTGCTTGAAGAATAGATAAAATATTTTTCTCAGTCTGCTTCTGCATATTTTTCAGAACTGCATGGAGAATTGTGGTTGATGATGGAACTAAGTGCAGAAGACAAAGGTTGGTGTCAATTTTCTTTTACAGTGAAACCTGTGAATTTGCTTAAACATACACTGTTAACTGGATTTTCCTCTTTGACAATGAAACACCCCCTGTTTTATCACTGTGATATAGGATTGTTTAGTTAAATGATGAAGTATACAGACTAACTAATTTGAGAGAGACAAGATCCTTGTATTCATTCTCTGGTAAGCAAAATTAGCACAATGCATTTTGTGTGTGTAATCATAACACTTTCACCTCAAAGTAAAAATGCCTGATAATAGCTCTCAAGGTGGTTTTAGTTTCTCAAAGATAGCAAAAAAAAACTACAGAAAAAAACTTCTTTGTGTATGTTGTACCTTACATTGCAAAGTTGTTGCTTTGACTGTCTCACATCATGCTAATTATTTTATGGGGTTTTTTATCAAAATGAGTTTTTCATCATTTTAAATGGCCACAGTAAGGTGCATTTAAAATAACAAGAAAGACTAAAATACTTTGGAAATGTCAGTGGGTACAAGTCTGTAAGTATTTATTGCCTGATGCTTTGAACATTCTTCGGGCTCAAGAATGTTTTTCACTTTCTTATATAACCAGGTACTTTGCATGCGTTGAGTGTTTTATGTCCTACTCAGTGAAACTTTACGTGGAATAAATTAAGTCTTGGAGAAGCATGTTTTTTCACAAACAGCTGTTGTCTCTGCAAATGTTAGTCCTCCAATTGTTCTTTGCTATCTATCAGTCCATTTTAGGGCCAAACTAGGCTGGCTTTACACTGACTAGTTCTTAATGCTATAAGTCATTCATTATAATGGGATGTTGCTAAGTAAATGATGATACAGATCAGAAAGGAAACATATTGTTATTGCTCTATTTTAATTTTTTTTTAATGTATATATCTCTTGGAAGAAGTAAAGAATATGAACGAAGAAAGAGATTGAGATGTGGAAATATGAGAAAAATGTGTATATAGGAAATAATTGGAAGAGGACAAGGGGAGAAAAATAATTTAATAACAAGGGATTTAAAAATATCTTTGTTGAAAGAACCTGCAAATCTAGTTCTGTCATGAAGAGTGAATGATTAACCTTGTCTCTGAGATGGCATACAACAAAATAGGGCAAAAAGAGAGCGCTAGCCGCAGAGGGAAAAGAAGACTGAGGTCTGAGATCTGAGAGGACTTCAGCTATGGAGGGAGACAGTGCTAAGCATTAGTTCTTACTGCTAGACCAGTCTGGAAGTCTGCAAAGGACAGCAAATTCCTTACTTTCTTTGAGATACCAGGGTCATACCAGATCCTGGCGTGCCTGTTGCCATCATGATTTTCCTTAAATTTGGGTGTTTTGCATCAGATATAGCCAGTAGATCTGGTCCAAAGTGTGCAGAGATATTTATTGTGGTGGTAGAGGCTGGACAGTCTGCCCCTGGCTTGGCAGTAGTGTTGTTAGGTGAAAGCTGAGCTGCCCCACCAGGGCAGCAAGTCAGGAAAAAATAATAAGTTAAATTGCATTTTCTTTCTACCAAAAGAAACATGCTTACTGTCAAGGCCAAACTTCTTTTGCTCCTTATATTTACATCAGTAGTGAGGATAAATCTTCTCTACTGAGTCCTTGTATGACTAGTGCAGGGACTGTCCCTCTGTCCCTCTCTTGCTGTGGATATAGCAGTGTGGGTGAGCAAGTACAGCAGGGGACTTGAATGGTCCATCTTAAATGTGCCCTAAAGTTTTCAGAAGCCTGTCTTTGGGTTGAGGGGTATGGGGAGCTGTGGCCAGGCCCAGGGATGTTGATGGTGGTGATTTCAATGAGAAGTGTGTATGCTCCAGGCTGGTTCTATGGGGCTGTTGTGAAACGAAACAGTCTTGTGAGGGCTGGGAGGTCTCCTCTATGAGACACCAAATCCCAAGGGTTTCCTCCTCTTGGTGAGTTGTTCAGGATGGTGCTCTGCTTTTGGCAGGTTGGTAATCTCTGCTACACAGAGGACAGGACAGATCTCGATGAAGAAGGATTGCAGCAGGGAAAGAAAGTCTTGTTCTTTGTCTGTGGATGACTTTTTGTAGAGTTACTGGTCTCACAGAAACTACTGCTGGCAGGCAGAAACAAGAATTTTTGTTTGGGTCCCTTAGAATAGGATGAGTTGGGGGTAGGGAGAGCAACCACAGAAGTGACCGGCAGCAAAGTAAATGAAGAACCAGACTGGGGCATTGCTCTCACAGTTTATGAAAAATAGCAGAAAAATACATACAGTCAGTAACCACAAGATTTGAAATAGATGACGACTGAGCACAGATAAGAACGCTTAAAAACATTAGATACTATTTTGGTTGAATGACTTGACTGTACTACATTTTAGATTACTCAGCTGATAACCAATAAGAAGCAGAGAACCAGATTTTGAAAGTATAAAAGTCTCTGCCTAATTGTGAAAGCAAGCAGAGGCACAGACACATAGATAGATGTGGGTCTAATAGGGGCAAAAATAGGAACAGTACAGCATGCTTCCAAAAGGACTAAGGTAAAAGAATTGGTAGAGGATGAGACAGTATGAACTGTGAGAGTGAAAAGACAAGAGCAATAATTTAGTAGCTTAATGCTAAAAAGCACATTGAAGTTTTGAAGTGGATTACAATTAGCATTGTTACAACTGATGAAGCCTTGTTCAGTAAATAAAACTTCTAATTCAAAATTCCAATAGCATTAACAATGTATTTTTCTATAATGGTACTTTTAGTAAGTATTTGGTTTGCATTTGCTGCACCATTAATGTAGGGCGAGAGTCAGAATAAACAAGACACTATCTATCTGGAAATTAGAGATTTTTGTGTATCTCCTTTGATTGCTGTTTGCCTTCCCTCTTCAGTCTTAAAAGGCTTAAAACATTTGACTAGATGTGTCCTTCATGGTTTGAAGGTAGCTGCAAGCTGCCATATGTTTTTGTTACAGAGAATAATCCTCTGTCTCTATATGTTCCCATGTTTGGGTCAAAAGGGAAATTTCAGGCATGCTAAGTATGACTTTACAGTTTCCCATGGGGGCATAGTATCTCTAGGTAAGAAAGGATTTTATCACAGGAGTAACATAAATTATTCCATGAGTGTTTACATTACATGTAAAAAAGTTAAATTATTTGTTCATTTAATTGTACAGATCAAATTAAAAGTCAAAATTATTTTTCCTGTACTTATTACACAGTAAGAATAATTTTCTCTGTGCATCAGTGTGTCCAGACATCTAGAAGAACTAAAGTTATAATCCAAACTCCATATAATCTACAGGTTCCTGAATCCTATTGAATTCAACTGGTTTTATATAAAGTATAAATGGGAAAGATAAAGTTCTAAAATAATTCCTCTTCATGATAAATTTGCTGCTGAATGTCAATCATAGGGCTGCTTTGCTTAGACATGGCATTGGGTATGCATGTTGTGGGGCAGACATGAAAAATTTTAACAGTGTTTATTGGGATTGGTTTCATGGCTACCACCACAACTTATCAAAATTATCCATTTTTATGTCATCAACTTTTAAGGCTGTGAAACCAGCCTGAGTCCTGATTTTTTTGTGTAGCATGAATCTGCATTTTGCAGAACTCTGGCTTGTCTGATGTGCGTGTCTGTTCACTTACACAGTTACCTTGCATTGCAATGAGATGAAGGTTTTATGTACATGAAAATACATAGGGGTGAATTTTTTGTTGCAAAAAGCAGTGATGGGTGTTAGGCAGGCTAGTGGAACAGAACTGTTTCCAGAACATATTCCCTCCCACATAAGCCTTTAAGCAACTGATGTGGGCAATCTCTATCCTTGTGTCCCATGCAGCATGAACATACTGCTGATATTTATCAAAGGGGTATCTGGAAAAAGTAATAATTTTTGCTTCCACTTTTGGGTGAAATTCAAATGTAGAACACTAAAAATGATGAAATCATAGCTGTTATTCAGACTCTAAAAGTTTAAAGAATGTTTAGTGCTTTGGAGGTTTGAGAGAAATATCTTAGCTTTCTTTGCTCATGTAAGTAGTTCAGGATTGGAGGAGAGGAGGAGAAATAGAAAAGGATGGGAAAGTGAAATATGATGTATATATCCAAGTTAATACTGACTGTTGAAATGCTCTTTACCCATGTTATTCTTTTAGGGCTTGAACTTTAAGTCTCAAAGTAAAATCAGCATGTATTTCAGTCTTAAGATTTGCTGAGAACATGGAATGTAAAACACAGCAAGAAGGCCATGAGCTGTATGTACTTTCCTGTGGAAGAAACCACGAAGGAGAAAAGCCATATAGAAAATGCACAGAATGGACAAGCAAAATAACTCTGATCCAGTGTGTTGCAGGTATCCTCCCAATTCACTTCTCTGTTGAGAGACAGGGGAATGAAAAACTTACATGAATTCTGCTGCCACTGCTCAGCTGTAGCCATCAGGGAAAGTGTTAGGAGCAGGACTCCTAACACTGGGAGTATCCACACTGGGAACTGCTGTATGTGTTACTTCACCTCCTCTTTCTCCAGTCTTTGTTTAGCCAACAGGTGAATTTTTAAGATGCTGTGTGCCCAGCAGCAAGCAGGCCACTTACTGTGCTGCAAAATGGAGCTTCAAGAAGGAAAGGGTACTGAAGGAAAGGCTACTGATGGGTAGACATGACCAAAATGAAAGCTAAGAGATAAAATCCAGGAAAGATGATGGCGTATTTCTAGAGTTGCATATAAAACAGGTAGTACATTTATCTAACTATGAGATGCATTCAATAGATCCTGTTTTAGGGGCTGATTAATGAAGCACATAACGTTGGAAGGAGTATTATGGATCTCTTGTCACTGTAGTGCTGTGACATGTTGTATTGGCTTTCTGTAAGTGCCAATAAAAATAGGAAAAAAATGCCCTCCGTCAAGAAAGATGTCTTGCACTTATCCTCACTGCTTTTGAAATGGTATTTGGTAAACCTAGGATGTCAGGAGTATACCTAAATAGTCTCTCAAATAATCGAGCTTGTGGGCTTGGATAAAATTTCTTAAGAGCCTC